GTTCGAGGAAAAACAGTGGGTCCGAGAGTACTTCTGAACTGGGGATGTGAATTTGGTCCACGTTGAGGTACAAAGCTTGCAGGTGTATCTCCACCATACTGGCCACATGGTCCAGTCCTATCCAATTCAGGAACGGCTTCCCAGGGTCAAGATCCTTGACGGAGGATTTACTCGTAATAGCAGTAAGAATCTGTTCATGGCTTAGACCAACGGCTTTTGCATTTCCAGTACTGCCGGATGTGAGCATCAACAAAGCCAATTCTGTCTCAGAGGAACATTTCAGAACTGTGAGTGCGCATATGTCCGAAGCCTCCGTGGAGAGCAAAGTCTCGACAGTATGGATATTCAAGACTTCCTGATCAGTGAAGTCGTCTAAAAGGTTGAGCCGAGTCAGACAGATCGGGTCTCGCAGTAGAGTGTGAAGATGGCATATATGTCTCTCGCGTTGTTTCGTGTCGTTGCTGAATGGGGTTGACATTGCAGGAACACCTCCGGCATAAAGGACTGACCAAAACCATATGATATTATCGAGATGGTTATCCAAGTGGAGTAGGACAACAGAGCCTTGCTTGAATCCCTTGACACATGTAAAGTGTCGGCTGTTGGATAGAGCTAGCGACAGCAGCTTGTCGTATTGCACGCTGTAGCCACTAGTTGTCTCCCCAGACCGGTAAATGATAAGGCTTCGAGGCCTGTTCCCGCTTGCTCGTGATATTAAGAGATCTTTTAAGCCATTGAGATGCATTGTGACTGCGTGAGAGCTTCTAAGCAAGAGCAGGTTACCAGAAGCTAAGGTCATGCATTCAAATCCAGTATGCGATAGACAATGATCCAAATACGTAGAAGTTCTCCGCGATTTACCATTTCGAAATGGAGAGTCCCCTACAACTTTCATAGGCTAGATGTGAGGCTATGTGGGGAGAAATTTGGGATGCTGCAAAGCCATTAGCGCACACTAGTAGTGAAGAAAGTGAACCTCTGTAAGGCAAGGATGAAAAAAGCGGCCGTAATTGTACACGGTTGACAAAACTTGGAGCCAGCCAACACACCATCAACTGCTTCTCTATAACACAGGAAGTGATTTACCACTCCCCACTTACGCGAATAGCCCTACAATGAGGATGACTCCGATACCCTGCAAGGAAAGCAAGGAAAAGACATTTAGCGACGAGCCATCTTGCTCGCAGTGTGTGCCGTGCACACCATCATTCCTGCACGATTGTCGCAGAAGCACCTGCTATCAGAGAAGGTGAAAATCAGGGGGTTACCTGCAGTGTTTCGAGCTTGCATACTTCGGCCGTAAGATGACGTGCTGCTTGAGGGGCAGCGTTACATTCTGTAATCCGAACGTGATTAGGCTAGGGTCAGATGGTTTACCGGCTTGCGCGCCAGGGAAATACTTATGAATGAATGCTTAGCGCCTTGGCGTGGTTGATTCATGTATCTACTGTAGGTGGCTAGTGTTGGGAATACCTCGACGCCGCCACTCATACGACATACCCCACCTACAGTTCAACGGATGACGTGATCTTTGTTACCCATTACACCTCTTCCCCAACCCGTGCACCCGTCTTATCTCACCGCTCTCGACGGTCCAGACCGGTCTGATTTAGCTGTTTATTAGTCCGATATATGTACTTAGTAGACTAGTCGACTATTGGTGGAAGAGGCTGAGATGTGTTTCGCGGAGGCTCTATCTAGTATTAGGTTCGATTTCTGATGGCGGTGGTACAATGGTGTTGCGGTGCTTCTTCTTTTCTTGTACACCACTTTTTGATACATCTACACCCCTCATATGGTTCAGAGGGATTTAGTTCGTAATAGGGTCGATTCCTATTGGCGCTGGTACAATGATGTTGCAGTGCTTCTTCTTTTCTGGCAGCGCCAATAGCCCGATTACCGATGTTTCCCGTGGTCGTGGGTTCGAATCCCAGTTGTAACCTGGTCTGGCTTGAGTGCAGCAGCAGGAAGTGGTTATTCCCGTGAGTTGGTAACCGTCCAGACGCGGGACGGGGAACATTCGCTTAGTCAGCCACTCCGAAGTAGAATAGCGTCCGCGCTTATATTATAATTGCGAAATTTTCGCGTAAGATTTAAATAACTTATAAATATTAAATATTAAATATTTAATAATACTTTATAAAGATCTCGAAAATTTTAAAGTATTTTTAAGATTATTTTAAGTTAATTATAGAACTATCGCGAAAATTTCGAATTATCTTTTAAAGTCTCGAAAATTTCGAGTTAATAATAATAGAATTATCGCGAAAATTTCGAATTATCTTTTAGAGTCTCGAAATTTTCGAAATTTTTAAATTAATAATAGTATTTTTAAAATTATTTTAAGTTAATTATAGAATTATCGCGAAAATTTCGAATTATCTTTTAGAGTCTCGAAATTTTCGAAATTTTTAAATTAATAATAGTATTTTTAAAAATTATTTTAAGTTAATTATAGAATTATCGCGAAAATTTTAAATTATCTCTTAGAGTCTTAAAATTTTCGAAATTTTCGAATTAATAATAATAGAATTATTTTAAAAATTTTAAGATAATTATAGAGTTATAACGAAGATTTTAAAATATTTATAAATCTCGAATTTTTCGAATTATTTATAAATTTATTATAAAAAAAATATATATAATAAAAATATAATAAATAACTAAGTTATTAAATTTATTTAAAAAAATAACGTTTATAATATCTATAAATTATAGATATTTTTAAAAATAGAATATTTTATATAATAGATTATAGTATTTTATATAATAAAGAAAAAAAGCTTTAAAATATAATATAAGAATAAAAAAGTAGATTTAATTTTTGTTAAGAACGATCTTTAACGAGGCCTCGATAGGTACGTATTCTATTGATATATGTAATAAAGATATAGAATACAATATGGCCTGCTGGCAGATATGTGCGTAGTGCCAAGCCACTAGTGCCTTGGCAAGGAATCCGTAACAATTTTATAGTATCTTTATATATATTAAAATAAAAGAAAATAAAAAATAAATAAAAATAAATAATAAATAAAAATAAGTAAGTATATTAATAAAGAAAAGAATTCTTATTTTATATATATATTAATATATAGAATAGTTATTAATATTTACTTCTAGAGAATTTAAATTTTTTTTATCTCGAAATTATCGTTTAAAATTATCGTTTAAAATTATTATTCGAAATTATCGAAATTATAGCTACAATAATTTCGAATAAAAAAAATCGAAAATTTTAAGTCGCTTAAATTTTTGCTAAGGGTAACCGTTCGAGATAATTATTAGATTACTTTAAATTTAAGTTTATCGTATTTATTAGCTAAATTTATATATATAAAGAATATATTTAATATAAGTTAATAACCGTCTTCTTAATAATAATAACTATCTCTAAAACTCGAATTTTTCGCTATAATAAATATTCTCGAAAAATTCGCGACGCTTCGCGTTTTTATAAATCGTTAGCAGTACCCCTACGGGGGGTTTATATTTAGATCCAAATAGGGGTGTCTAACTTCGGGGCTCGATAACGAGTCCCCTACGGGGGCCCTACGAAGGCCCTACGGGGGGTGCTCTTATAATATTCTTCTATTTATAAAGCGAAAATATCGAATTTCGATATTTGATGATAGGGGGTAGGGCTTAGGGTAGGGCTTAGCGTGGGTCACCGTCCAGGCGCGCCTGGACGGTTACCAGACCCCGTTGAAGGCCACATTCTTCGTGCGGGGGCACGAACCGTGGTTGTGGGTCGCGTTCAGAGGGATTTAGTTCGTAATAGGGTCGATTCCTATTGGCGCTGGTACAATGGTGTTGCGGTGCTTCTTCTTTTCTCACATCGGGTTTGCGCTTTAGCGTCAGCGACTTTTGAACTGCATTGAAGGAAACCTTCCACAACCTGGAGTATTGGAGCATTTGGATTGATTTCCTGCAGAAGTGTCTTAAAATCTCACACACCCTTGACTATTGAAGTAGTGGACCCAATTTTCGGCAGATTCGCCTTGAAACACGGCAAGAAAATCCCCCACGCATCTCTACTCATTTGAGTTGTCGAACCCGTTTCCTGCAGAAATTCCTGGTATAACGGCAACTCTGACCTGCGTCGAAGAGAAACTTTAACACCCTTGATTATTGAAGCAGTCGAGTATTTTCTGTATAATTAGTTCCAAACACAGAAACTTTGACATGCATTCAAAACTGTGCCTCACACCTTTGCATATGTCCGTGGAATGACACCTCCGAAGGGTTCCTCGCTAAGCAAGAAAAAGTTAGGTGTGACATGGCAATCGAGGCGAGCTATGCGGAGGAATGGAGAGATCTTCACCTAATCATGTGCAAGTTCCATAGCTATTTCCTATTTCTTTCTCAGCGCGCATATACTACTCACTGCCGACTACTGTAATAGTCGCGCACACTGACCTGATCTGAGGGGACGCACATGTATCAAAAAAGGGTGTATACGTATGAGTTCCCAATGAATTTAGTAGTAACTCTCTAAGTGTCCAATAAGATTTGGCGAAAAACTATCTCTATGAATTAGCCAGGTCAGCTAGAAACTTGGTCTGGATCCGTGCGACTTCTAGACCAAAATTAACCCGTTTTTGTAGCCTCACGATGGCTTATTTCGAGGTCCAGGACTACCATTGCGGACCATTGAGAGCGTTGTCTTGTCTACGGATTACCTATGAAGTCTCCCGGATTGAACTCCGAGCCCCTCTCTATCAGGGTTGAGTTACTGTGGCTTCAATTTCTAGGGATTAAAATGATGGGTAAAAAGGCTCGGGTTAGACAAGAAAATGTACAATACTGGCGCAGAGATTACCTAGAGAGTGTGTGTATGTATGCAACGATTTGACGAAGGAGCTTTTACGGAATCCTTTGGAAGTCAGGGTGCATGTACGAACTACGGACCGGCCCGATAGTGTGTGATTGAGAAATTCCATGGGCGAGTTTATAGTCCAGGAGACTCGGACGCCATGTGCTTAAAACAAACAATAAGATTAAGAGCTTGATTGAAAATAGTTCCAACGAGCCTCGATAATTGCCAAAGCCGATCCTCTAGGCTCTTCAACTCCAATGAAATCAAAGCGAGGGTCCGCTTCTTGAAACAGAAGCTTCCATTCGTCCTGGTCGCGCTCCCGGGAGTCAAAGATTCCTAGCATGTTCAAGTCCGCACTTGAGGTAGTATTCATGTACATACCTGAAGTCCTTTTCTCTCCACTGCGCCATCGTTCCAAGCTCGGGTAAGCATGTATCCTGGATCACGACCCGAGTGTCGTGCCTCAACGCCGGTCTGAGACAGCGAAGTATCTGTACACTGTACTTATCAGAGCAATTGTGGAAAATTCAGCGGAAGTAATAGACATCTGCCTCGACCGACTGCTCTGCGAAGAAACCATGCGCCATGAAGTTTACTCGAGATGGTAGTTCGGCTGGAAGATCGGAGGCTGCGCCTTCGATGACCTACGGCATATCTTGAACGATGATGTGAAGAGACTGGTATCTCTGGCCTAGAGGGATGGCGACATGACCCCTTCCTCCGCCGATATGAACCACCAAGCACTTAACCAAACCATCCCATTTATAATTGTTGATGATATAAGAAACCTCAAAACCAGATCTTGAGGTATATGCCTTCATGGCGTTCGCAAATTGCGCCCCACGACGTGGATCCGAGCCAATACTTTGATATATGGAATTTCCTGTGTCGTTAGCAAGAGCATAACCCTAGGCAACGTGTCAGTAACCCTGGTGATCGAAATCATCATGGACGCGTCAACCAAAATACGAAACTCACAATTTCATTGACTTCCTGGTGAAGCCGGCCACTTCTCCACTGCATCCATGACTTAATAACATTTCAGCCTCAGGATAAACAGCAAACGAAAATACGTACTCGTGTTGCCGCAGGCCACATTTCCTCGCGACCTGTTTTCATCCAATCGTGCATGCACGGTTCAGCTAGAAGGTTAGATGCAGCGGTATGTGCCACGAGACCTTTTGTAGGCTCCGAGAAGACTCGCATCATCATGGCATGACGGAGAAGGCGCCGAAGTAGCTGCTCGTTGAGCCCTGTCGACTTCGACAGGTGTGCATATGAGACTTGCTCTCCCACGGTGAACTTCTTTGCAATATCGAATCGAGTGATAGCTTGTAGACAGAGCATATTGTTATGCTATTTACATAGACATGGTGAGCTGTTACTCTTCGCATTTTATGAGTGTCACCTACCCCACCGTGACGAAATAGCAGATTGAGGGGACCAAGAAAGAGATCATGAAGCTCTGCGGTTGCGTCAAGCACAGCGTCTTGGTTCTCCAACAGACCCTCTGGTAGCGATCCGGATGCATTTGCCTCAAAGGACGGAAAAGGAAAAGTTTCTTTGACAAGCGACTCATGCACAGCTTTGACAGATCTGTTTATGACGGCGGCCAGCTCTAGAATACGAGAGTTCTCCATCTTTAAAGAATGGAAAAACACTGAACGCGCGAAGCATCGCCCTAGACCATATATCGCACATCTAAAGTAACTTAAATTGTGGTATTGAAAGGTAGTGAATGGAGATGCAGGGTCAATCTATGGCGGAGTCCTTCGAGTCCCCACTAGCTGCGCGCGTGGCATCGTATGCCTTTCTGAACGAGCCTTGTCAACTTCGGCAGGCGCGGTATTTGCAATGAAATGCAGTGTGAGATTGTCAAATCATAAGACGCATAAGCTATTTTTTAGTGTGATTGCTGCTGCCTACATGTATCCCATAAATAGAGCGTGGCTTCTGAGACAAGAAAATTGCTTCTACGAACCGAAAAAGCGTTGCTAGACAGCTATACAGGAATTGTCTCCATCACGCTCTCGTAAACTGCTGGCTTGTAAGTCAACTTCTTAGTAATTTTAAGCCCAACTGATTCCAGTATCTCTAGCCATTGTGTCTCTGTGCGCTCCCTAGCGCCAAATGCACACATCATACTCAAGTCGATCGACGTTACATGCCAGTCAACGTGGGCGTTGGGGAGAACTATTTCGTCAATCAGAAGCACTGAATCCTTGCCCATCGCAGTCATGACGCTTCGGAGAATGAGGCGGACCCTCTCGTCTGAATGATTGTGTAGTACGCCGCGTAGAAAGTAGAATTTTGCTCCTATGTCTTTTATTCAGAATGACACTCATCCTGTTTTCAAGAACTGGCATACCTTTGACTGGCTGCGGCTCGAAGAAGTTGTGGACCATGTTTTCCACGCCTAGTATTTGAAGCGCACGATCGATGGTATGAGGCAGATCCTGCAGTATGACACGTCCCGCGACTTGAGGATACTGAGCTTTGAACTCGGCACACTGATGGCCGATGCCTCCTCCAATGTTGACAAACACGGGAGCTTCTGGATTCCACGCTTTTGTCTCTTCTTCCACTGGATACACAGATAGCCATGTCTCGGCTCCTTCGCGCCGAGAGGCCATGTATTGGTTGAAGTATTCCAGATTTTTTGGGTGAGACTCGAACCACTCAAAAGCTCCGAGCTCTGTCTTCCACGCATCTTGGAATACTGAATGGTAATAATCGGAGATATCCTGGTATTTGATCTTTTCCAGAAACCTGGGCAGTTCCTGGTATTGTGGGCCAATTGTTTCAAAACTAACGAGCTATGAGTGCGGGGGAAGGCTGAGGAAGATCGAACAACGTGAGCCACTCACCAGTGATTAATGCCTGCTTGGTTACCCTTGATGGCCAAATTCCTGCTCACGTTGTTTGCTGCAAATGTGTCTTCCTGGGTCTCATTGATTATTCCTACGGAAGAAAGGTATCGTAAGAGGCGGCCTGAATCAAGATCATTATGCGCTCTTCCAGCAGGTTGATGAACAGGCTTCTGAACCTAAGAGGAGACGATCGGCTCCAGTGCTTCCGGCGAGATCCCCCACGCTGAGCGGACTTTCACTTGCAGTGAGCAAATCAAAAAGCTTGAGGTCGAATCCGACACGAACGGCTGATGTTTGAAGGTGCTGGTAGAGTAAGTCACTGAACAAAGTTTGAAGCTTTGGGAGCGGATCAATGTGAGATTGGAAGGATAGACTTGGAAATACGCTCACATAGTAGCCAAGTCTATGTACCGTATCATCACTCCCCTCCAGTGAGTATGTCAGATCACGAAGCACGGTCTGAAGTTTCCTGCGACCGCTTTCATCAGCCGCATCGACTAGCAATTTCACTTGATCAACAAGGCTTTCCATTCTGTCCGGACGGGGAGGCCCTAAGGGAAGCTGTCAAGGAGGGCGGGAGAGGGAAAGCACACTGGAACATGTTAAATGTTCCTGTGGAGTCAGGAACCGAGCACTTTATGGCATTTACTAGTAAAGCAATTTCTCAGATAGCCAATGGTGTTCTACAATTTCAACGAATGCTGTTTTAATCGATCCAGGCGAGGGGTCATGCAGGCATGGATCATCGATTTAATCCCCACCTATTTGTACAGCCGGAAAATTCAGCAACTCGCGAGTTGCTTAACAGCTGCGCAAGTACATGACTCGAAAGCAGCACTCGGGCTAGACGCTAGCACTACGTGTCGAAATAAGGTTCCCAGCCTCCTCCCAGCCACCTGTTGGAACAACCACCTATTCTGTGTGGGTACATATACTGGCCCAGGGGCTTCCTGAGATAGAATAACTCATGCAACCTACACACCCTTCTTTTCACCATACCTGAACGTTGACCCCACGCACTAGCCCGCAGTGTCGATTTGGTAGCCAAGCCTCGCTCAATGCGACGTGCATAGGCGCCAGCGCCGAGAGCAATACGAGGGGCACCGCGATAGCGACTGTAGGTGCGGGACGGTCGTTTACTGGTCACTGACACTCCGATCTTGCCGAAGTGTGCGACCGCTACAGTTGCTGCTCCTCATGTGGTACCTAGCACTATTTTCAGATTATTTGAGAACGATAATTGATTTGCGTAGTGTACCAGGTGGATCGACATTTAAGTATTCCCGTTCAATACTTGAGTGGGATACATGACAGAATTCCACGGACCTTATCAAGTGATCGTCTCCGAGGGCTGACACTTCCTTCATGCACGTTGGTAGCTTGATGCACAGATTTCGCCATATGCAGGCCACCGGAACTTACCTTATTTTCATGGTCCGAGTTCTTTTGCGACCCAATTGTAACGTCTGAAATAAATTGGGCCAAAACAAGAGCGTAGAACCATGTTTATTCTGTAACGGTGGGTTGTGAGCAATCAGATCATTTGGGACTGACTCTGCAAGAGAAAATGAGAAACACCGCAACATCATTGTACCAGCGCCAATAGGAATCGAACCTATTACGAATTAAATCCCTCTAACCTGCAAGACCAGACTCGCGAACACATGTTATTGACACTTTGCCGCTCCTACAAGCATATAGAAAGCATTGCAGTCCTAGGCTACTACCTGTAATTGTGCTCACAACTCCAGGGCCCATTTACTGATTAGACTTTGAATCTCTTACTTCACTCCAATAATCCACATGTCTTTATCCGCCACCTCTCCACCCACACCACCACCTTTGGCTAATGAAGATAAAGGGTCATTTGTAACAGCGATATTTTGGGTCGAGACCGGAATCGCCATTCTGTTCGTTTGTGGACGTTTCTACGCAAGAACGCTCATCGGGGCGCTTGGCCTTGACGACTGGTCTATGCTTCTAACTGTGGTAAGCCAGTTGATTGTTCCTAGTCTGAACATAACGCAAAATGACTCGGCGCAACAGACCCTCCTCATCGCTACAAGCGCTGTGGTAACCAGCACGTCTAACCTTGGAGGCTTTCGACACTCTGCTTATGTGCCGCCGGAGAACGCCACCCAAGTGATTTTGAACACCTACATCCTTCAAACATTGACAACTTTTGCCTTCGGGACCAGCAAATTCTCTATAGGGTACATGATTCTACGACTGTTATCGACCGGCTCCGTCAAGCGTAGACGGTTTATTTGGGGACTGATAATATTTGCCTGCATCTATAATTGGGGAGAAACCCTCTCAATATGGTTTCAGTGCATGCCTACAAGAGCGCTGTGGGATTTCACCACCGCAGGGACTTGTTGGAGTCTTGAAGCAAAGTTAATCAACATATACGTTGGCGGTAGTAAGTAGACTGGATCAAATTTTGCAAACCAGGGAGCTGAAATTATTTCCAGCCTGGAATATCGTCATTGATTTCGTTCTTGCTCTGTTTCCTGCTACATTTATCTGGAAGCTGAAAATGGCCCTGGGTCAACGAGTGTCTCTTTCTGTTCTTCTGGGTCTCAGTCTTCTGTAAGCTCCTTCTCCTTGTGATTTATAAGTTCTTTCATTGAATTACTACATTAGAGCTGGCATGTGCGGTATCGCCAAGCTCACCTACGTACACTTGCTTAAGGACCTCTCCGACGTGACATGTAAGTTCACTCAACAGTATCACTGGGTAGTTAACACTTACTATTTCAGGGAATAACATTCCACTGGAGCTTTGGACAGGCTCAGAAGTTTTCGTGATAATTATATGTGGCAGCGTGCCGCCCTTGAAAGTCCTCTGGGATCAGCTTGTCAAGAAGATACGCCAGATACGCCATGTCCCAATGAGAGCCAACACCTATAGGCGTGCAGAAAATGGTTATATTGAGATGTCGGGCAAGCATAGGAATGAAGCCAGTCCGTTGAGCTCTACTACAGAGGATGGTGGACCAAGATGGATGACTGCGACAACGGAAATTCAGATCACCAACGAGAGTGGGTAAGGCGGAGCCTTGTCGTAACTCTGTCCCAAGTCAACTTATCTCACTCAAGGGTCTCGAAACCAACATGCTCACGAGATATTTGAATGTTGCGATCCTCGTGATTCTGATGACTGTCTTAAGATATATATTTATTCTTCGAAAATAAGTAGTGTAACACTGAAAGACAAATGTTATCATAACCATGCCTTTTGAAAGGCTTATGTGCTCATCGTATTTTTTCATCCCAGCACAAGTCATCTTTTGGCACTGGGATGCTGGCACAGTACATTAACGTATTGCCAGCACTTGTCAAAGCTCTCCGAGATTCGAGAGGCCAAATAATCTTAGCTCCGAGTACGGTGTTCGAATGATTTTTTCTTTTTTACGTTATTTACGATTTTTACGATTTTTTAGCGAGAGAGATTAATAAATTCGAATCGAGAATAAAGTAAAATAGTTTCGAATTTTATTAAAATTATTATTACTCGACTATCTAAGCTTATATTAAAGGAGTATTCTTAATAGAGTAAATAAGTTTTTAATAAGCGATGTTTAAATTTCTTATCTTTAAATGATTATAAGATTAAGTTTAATATTTTTTATTTTATTTAGAAGTATAAACTACGTTTTATAATTTAAAATAAAAAATAATTTTTTTTAATAGAAAATAAAAAAGTTATTTTAAAATTAAATAATATATATCTATTTTTTTAATTAGAGCTATCGACTATCGAGTAAATTTAATAAGCGAACTTTAATAAGCGATATTTAAATTTCTTATCTTTAATTATTTATAAGATTAAAGTTAATTATTTTCTTTTTTTTAGAAGCGTAAATTATACTTTATAATTTAAAAAAAATTATAATTTTTTTAATAGAAAATAAAAAAGTTACTTTAAAATTAAATAATTTTTTTTATAAGAAGACGTAAGAGAAATAGTAAGCTAACTTAGTTAATTTAATTAAAGAGCGTAATAAACTTAAATTTATAATTAGCTATATATATAAATTTAAGATTTTTTAAATTAACTCTATTTTATTCTTTTATATATATTAATTATATTATATTATAATTATTAAAATTAATATAAATATAATATAAATATAAATATATTAAATAAGATAATTAAGATATCGATTTATATAAATAAAAGAGAGATATTAAATAATAAATAGATATCTCTATTAAGATATACTAGACTTAAATAGATAAAAGAGTTAAGTAATATATTACGAATAAAAAATATCTTTATAATACTATTCTCTCTCTTTATAAAATTATATTTCTATATTTAATAAGTAAAATAATAGAAAAATAGATATATATATATACTTAATATTAAACTCGATCTTAGATTAAAGTTTTAGAGTTATATAGTAATATAAAATTAGAAAGATATATAGATTTTATATATAGATTTAATATTAAAAACTTAATAATATATATAATAACTAGTTATTATAGTATAAAGAGAATAAGTTTAGGCCTATAAATTAAATTCATAGAAAGTAATTTATTTTTAAATCTGATTTCGAGATTAAATTCGATTCTCGAACTTCGAAGAGTAAAAATAATTTAATTTAAGATTTATTTAAAATTATAAGATTAAATTTTAAAAAACTTAGATTATTAGAAAGTATAGATTAAGTTCTATAATTTAAATAATAATAATATAATTTTAATAGAAAAAAGAGAAGTTATATTAATAATAGATTTTTAAAATTAATTAATTTTAAATTAATTTAAACTTTATTAATAAGAGATTAATTTTAATATTTATTATACTCTTTTTATTTTAATTACTATTATTATTATTTTTACATTTTTTAAATTTTTTATTAATTTTACAATTTTTACAAATTCTACGATTTTATAATTTTTATAATTTTACGATTTTTTAGTAAGGGAGATTAATAAATTCGAATTGAGAATAAAGTAAAATAGTTTAAAAATTTATTAAAATTATTATTATTTAATTATCTAAGTTTATATAAAAGAGTATTTTTAATAAAGTATATAAGTTTTTAATAAGTAATATCTAAATTCTTTATCTTTAAATATTTATAAGATTAAATTTAAAAATACTTTTTTTATTTAAAAGTCTATATTTTATTCTATAATTTAAAAAAAAATTAAAATTTTAATAGAAAATAAAAATATTATTTTAAAATTAAATAATATATATTTAATTAAAGCTATTTAACTATCGAGCGAACTTTAATAAGCGAACTTTAATAAATAATATTTAAATTTCTTATACTTTAATAATTATAAGATTAAATTTAAGAATTTTTTTTTTATTTAAAAGCCTATATTTTATTCTATAATTTAAAAAAAAAAACTTAAAAATCTAATAAAAAATAAAAAAGTTATTTTAAAATTAAATAATATATATCTAATTAAGACTATTTAACTATTAAGCGAATTTTAATAAATAATATTTAAGATTCTTATTCTTTAATAATTATAAGATTAAATTTTAGAAATTATATATTATTATAAAGCGTAATCCTCGCTTTAAAATTTAAAAAAAAAATTTAAAATTTTAATAGATAATAAAAAAGTTAATTTATCTATAAGTAATATATATTTATTTTTTTAATAAAAAGCTTTAAGAGAGCTAGCGAGCTAATTTAGTCGATTTAATTAAAAGATATAATAATCTTAAATTTATAATTAGCTATATATATAAATATAAGATTTTTAAGCTTAATTCTATCTTATTCTTTTATATATACTAATATTATCTATATAGAATAATTATAAATATAAATTTTATAGTAAAATAGAAAGATTAATTAATTTTAATACGCTAAGTCTAATTAGATTATAATATAAATAAGATAATTAAAATCGTAATATTAATCTCTTCTTTAATTTAAAGCTTCGATAATAATTATTATATAATAGATATTAATCTTATAAAAAATATATATAAATATATATAAAATAATATTCTTAGATATATTAATTTAGTATTTTATTATAAATTTAAAATCTTCTTATAAATCGATATAGCTATTATAAATTAAGAGCGCTAATAAAGAAAACTATTTTAAAGATTTTTTAAATAATAAATAAAAGTCGATAATCTCGAGATAATAATAATAAAAATTCGTTATTAGATTCGAATATCTTATTATATCTATAAATAAATATTAAAAAAGATTTTTCTCGCTATTAAAGTCTTTATATTTAATTTTATATATTAAATATTCTCTCTTATTAATTAAGAGATTTTTTTCTTTTTTTTTCTTTTTTTTTCTTTATTAATATCGATAGATAATAATTAGAGTTTAATTTATCTAAAGAGTAAATCGCTATTATTAAGATATAATAGCTATAAATAAAAGATTAAATAAATATTATTTATAAAATTCGAAAGTTTTAACTTATAAGCGAAATTATTTAAAGCTTTAATAATTTTAAGTAATTTATAATTCGAAATTTTTATAATTTAGTAATTTATTAAAATATATAATTTTAATATTTCTTTTATTATATATAATTATATATTTAACTTTAAATTTAAATATTAAAAGTTAATAATAATTAACTTATTTCTTTTATATAAATTTATAACTTTTAAAGTTAATTTTTTAAATAACCTTTTATATTATTTATCTTCTTAATAAACTTATTAGCTAACTTAATATCTTTTTTTATTTTTTAATTAATAAATTAATCTTAAGAGAAAGAGAATTATATTCTCGAGTAAAGAATATATTCTTAAATAAGAAGAAATAATAATATATTCGATAAAGCGTTTTTATCGAAGTTAATCTCGAATTTATTACGATTTTAATTATCTTACTTATATTATAATCTAATTAAACTTAGCGTAGTAAAATCTTTTAAACTTTCTATTCTATTATAAAACTTATATTTATAATTATTCTATATAAATAATATTCTCTTTATACTATAATAAAGAGTTATTATATATATTATTAAATTTTTAATATAATACTATCTATCTTTCTTTTAAAGTAATAATAATTTATTTATTAATTATATTAAATATATAATTAAATAGAAAATATATTATTAAGAAGTTAATAGTTATAGCCAAAGAAGCTTATTACTCGAAAAATTATTTTAAAAAAAATCTTTTATTTACATAGAGACTAATTTAATTAGATTAAATAAGAATTTAAAAAAATAGATATCTTTAATATTAATTATAAATCTCTTAATTTTAAATTTAAATAATATTTAAAATTAAATTAATATAAATAAATTATAGATATATCATTATTTAAAAGAATTTAAAAATTTTAATAAAAAGATTTTAAATATTAAAGAAAATAAATTATTTATATAATATAAGAAAAAATATTCTAATTCTAATAGAAGATATATTATTAAACTTAGTTTAAATTATATTAAAATATAATTTATAAATATTATCGAAAAAGAGTTAATTATAATCTTAATTTTTATTATTCATTTATAAAATTTTATAAAAAGCGCTATTAAAACTTTTAATATTTAATATAATAAATTAAAAATTTTAATAGAAAGCTTTTAAGTTACTAATTATAATATTAAAATATTTTAATAATAAAATAAAGAGATAAATTAGAATATTATTTAAATTAAAATAAAGATATTAATTATTATTATCTAGCTAAATAATATTAATAATTAACTATTTTATAAGTAAAGAAATAATAAAAGACTTTAAGACTTATATAGTAGATTAATATATATAAAAGAATAAGATAGTACTAAGCTAGAAAATCTTAAATTTATATATATATAGCTAATTATAAATTTAGAGTTATTACGCTCTTTAATTAGATCGACTAAATTATCGCGAATAAATAAATTAGCGTCCGCAATTATTAAAATCTCTTACTCTACTTTTAACTCTTTAATAACTTTACTATTTTCTATTAAAATCTTAAGATTATTTTTTTAAATTATAGAGCGAAGATTACGCTTTTTAATAACGTAAAAGTTTCAAAATTTAATCTTATAATTATTAAAGGGTAAGGACCTTAAATATCGCTTATTA